TTCCTTCCTTCCTTCCTTCCTTCCTTCCTTCCTTCCTTCCTTCCTTCCTTCCTTCCTTCCTTCCTCTCCTTTCCCTCTCTTTGCCTATATATCTCAAAACCTTCAGTCTTCTGACAGAAGTCCCATGTCCAGCTCCTTGTTTCGTCACCTGTTTTCCTGCCCACACCTTCAATCCACTCTCGTTCTGCTCCCTTTACCTGTCTGAAAATCCAGCTTGACAGGGGCCACAATTGTAGCAAAGCAGTTAAAAGGCTCTTACTTCTCACTTTAAGAAAACTCACCTTAGACAGGTGGTGCGTGCTTAGCTATTTCCCAAGCTTTATAGCTGACAAGAGAATGTGGACACTCCCTGTTTTTTTTTTTTCCTTCCCTCCCCCAGTCTCACCGCTTCGCTGATCCAGTTTGAAGGAGCTGAACAACTCCAGATTTCCTCAGAGATCAGCAGAAAACTAAACTGGTTAGGAAGGAAAATTCAGTGAATGGCAGGGTGGATGATCCCGGAACGAGGCAATCAATCATCTCAGCGAAGGGATGAGCAAGAAGTCTTTCCAAATTCAAGTTTCTTTGTGGAGCGAGCTACAACCAAGTCAATATTTTTCCAAATGTTGCTCATAACTGGGATAGAAGTACCATTTCCTCCCTCCCAAATTGGGTAATATATTCTGAATTGTTGAACCAAGAAGAATGTTGGAGATACTTGCAGATATAAAGGTCTAGTGCTATGGAGGAAATTAAAGGGGTGGGGTCTTTTGGGGAGGAGAGAAATTTGTTGGATCTGGCAATGTTCCCATCTTAGATGAGAGAATGCCTTTTCCCATATGGTCTTAAGAAGAGGCATGTTCCGTTGTATTCTAGAGATAATGGCATTTATCTGATAAAAAACGCTATTCTTGGACCCAGTTCTTTAAACAACAGATTTAAACTCCTCGTGTTAAAACGATTTCATCCATCCATCCAATTTCTGGATAATTTCATTTGCTTTTCTTCTCAGGGGTTCCAACCCTACCTCCCCTTTCATTTTTCTCTTTTCTCAAGTTCAACATTTGTACTTTTGGCAAATACCTTCTAAGCTTCTAAGTTTTTAACACTTCATATGGCTGATAAAGGTCAGAAAGACCGAAAAAGGAAAAAAGAGTCTGATTGAACGTCAATTTGTCTGAAGGAGTTTTCTATCTAAGAAGTCATGAGAAAGAATTCAAGTCAAAAATCTCACTCTTGCCCCTATGGATATGGATCTAGATATCGGATAGATTTGGAGGTGCATCGTATAGGGTCTTCTGCTTGAGCAAGGGACTCGACTAGAAGACCTCTAAGGACTCTTCCAATTTCATTAGTTTATGTTCTGTGAAATATAAATCTAATTCAAATGAAGTCGCCCTAAACTGACCTCTGAAGTTCTTAGCGCCCAGAAATATAGTGGGTTAATCAGTTCTAAAAAAGGAAAAATGAAAAAGAAAGCAATAATTGTGTTCCCGTTAACGTTCCCAGGCGCCAATCTTCCTGCATTTTCTTTGTTTCAAACCCAGAGTTGGCAACAGAAAAAAAATAAATAAATCTGGCCTATATTTTGTCTTTTTTTTATCAGTCCCTTTTATCTGCAACTCACAAGCTCTTTATTTTCAAAGATGAAAGTTACCAGAGTCCTGTCATAAACCAGTTCCTTAAATGCTGACATTTAAGCAACCAAAGAAATTTGGCAACAGCCTCCACACCCTTTTTTAATTTAATTTCACTGCACCTCTTTCACTGCACCTCAACCAGCAAGCTCTCCCTCTCGGTAAAATAATAATGTCAGAATTAGTCAATGGTGTCTTTAAGAGGAAAAAAAAAAACCATGTTGTTTAAAATGGTTATGTTACAAACAGAGCATTTAAAAAAAAAGATTACTTAATTTGCTTAATTTGCTTAATCACAAGAATTTCAAACTCTTTTCTTCTCACATTAGTTGGGAGGTGTTCTAAATAGCCTGAGCTTAACAGTTGATTTTTCTAAAAAGCGAATGAGGGAAAAATATATATCTGCAACCATTTGGATTCCTGACTATCCCTACCATGTTCAAATTTTTGCATAAAACTTCTTTAGATGTATATATTCTTATATACATAAGAAATATATACACACAAGGAATATATACATTTAGATGTATATATGCTTTAGATGTATATATTCTATATATTCTTTAGATGTATATATTCCACACACAATGGGGGAGAGGGGAATCTTAAAATAAAAATGAAATAAAGACAAGTAAACTCCCAAATAAATAAAATTTAAGAAGAGTAAACCGTAGCAGCAAATAAAAGCAAGCACCCCTTTCTTACACTAAAACAACCTCTAAAGAAGTCGAAAAGGTAAGTACATAAAAACAGACTCTGGTACAATGGGGGAGGAGGGGGGAATATGAAAATAGAAATAAAAACAAAAACAAATAAACTGACAAATAAAATAAAATTTAACAACTGTAGTGGCCAATAAAAACAAGCACCCTTAAGGTTAAAAAAGAAATCTTTAAAGAAGTCCCAGTTGAAAATCAAGATGTCTTCTCCCAGCCAGGTTGTTGAGAAGGTGGATAAAACATGTGGATCTTGAACCGGCTCCTCTCAGTATGCCCACAAAGACTTACCTGGTTCCCTCCACACCTGGATGTCAAGAATCTGTTTGAAAGAAGCTCAAGCTTTTTATAAGAATTCCTAGGCAGCCCTGGAGGGGATGAGGCGGCCTTCTCAACGCAAAGATCTTAATTAGATCCCAACCAAACCGCCTTCCACATAGAGCATTTAGTCTAATTGTCAGAATGGTGTCTACAAGTCATCCTCCTGACTTGGATGTGTGACCGGGAGTTTGCTCTGTCCACCTAGATCTTTATTTATAGACAGTCTAAAAGGACATCCCATCCCATGGGGCTTCTTAATTAAGATCAACTCGACATCTTGGCTTGTTACCACGTTATGAGCTGCTGCTTTTGGGGAAACCACGGCATGCTGAAACGGACTTCAACACCTCGGGTAGCTTTCTTGTTTTCTCCTTTCAGAAGATCCCCTGAGTCAAAAGGTTTCCCAGCACCTCCCTGGTCCAACCCAACATTTCCATAACCACATCTGAGAGCCGGTTGAGGTGATGTAATAAGAATAATATCAACTCAACTTGAAATCTTGGCATTGTGTGTACAAGCCTACATGAGTCGACGTTGCCTTAACGAGGTCACTTCTTAATACATGCAAAACCCCTTTCGCCTCTTTTTTTTAAAAATAATAATAATGAAGAAGAAGGCAAGGAGGATGGTCATATTCTAGAGGTTAAGTCTCTGGTGGGAATCAAAGCAGGTGACACCATAACCTTAATCAGAATACAGCTGGATGGGACCTTGGAGGTCTTCTAGTCCAACCCCCTGTTCATTTAAAACTCGTAGCTGTCCAGTCTTTCCTTAAAAACCTCCAGCGATGGAGCACGCACAACTTCTGTGACAAGCTGTTCCGCTGCTTAATTCTTCTCGCTTTTAGGAAGCGTCTCCTTCATTCCAGCTTGCTTCTCTCCTTGATTAGTTTCCCTCCATTGTTTCTTGCCTTGCCTTCTGGTGCTTTAGAAAATAAATTAGAATCAGAGTCAGAATCGAGCTGGGAGGGACCTTGAAGGTCTTCTAGTCCAACCCCTACTCAAGCAGGAGATCTTATACCACCTCTTCTTTGTGGCAGCCCCCCCAAATACTGGAATCCTGCTATCATGTCACCCCGCTAGTCCTTGTTTCCTCTTGGCTAGCATACCCAAATTCCTGCAACTGTTTTTCATAGGTTTTAGTCTCCAAGTTTTTAATCATCTTAGTTGCTTTTCTTTACACTTTCCCCCCCAAAAATCTCATGATTCAGGGGCCAAGTTCTGCTCTTGGAGACTCTTTGTAGCTAAAAGCATTTCTTCGTTCTATTTTTCACAGTTCCTTTGATTCGCTATTCTCAGGGCTACCAACACCCCATTTTTTCCTAAAATAATCCCCCCCTCAAATTCAAGCTAACATTGGACTATATACAGTATATGGTGGGCTAATTTGTTTCCTTATGTTCCTTGCTGAGTTGTGAAACTGAGTCCACTGCAGGAAAAAAAAAACTCTCGGTGACATCAAATGGTAGGTTAGCCTCGAACAATTCCTCTTCTATGTCTCACTGTAGGCCATCTCCAGTAGAAAGGTCCAGACGATGGGTTTTGGGAAGGAAGGAAGGTCAAGGATTGAGAATCCACATGTAGCCCAAACCCATTAAATTCTCACACTACATCCTTGAGACACCCATGGGTGTTTGGTGTAATTTAGGTACTTGAAGGGTGGAGTGTAGCTCAGAGCTGAGTGTAGTGAGAAGATTTATAGAGTTGAGTGAGTGATAATTCCATAAAACATTGTGGTATAATTATATTCTGCTTGATGTTCGGTCAGCTGAACAAACCCTTGAGGATCATCCACCATACCTTTGGTGTAACGCATAGCTGGGCTTGAGCTGGACACAAGCTCAAGCCCAGGAAAGGCTAGCGATGGGCCAAGGATCTGTGCAAATCAAAACTCATGGTTAGTTGGGTCTGTGTTACACCCAAAGCCCTAAAACCAGGGTTTCCAATCTAGAACTTGGATTAATGGGTAGGCCTTGCCAAATCTGAACAAAGCATCACATTCTTGGTTGAACATATGGAAGGCACCAAACTGTAGACGTGAGGAACAACGATCAGAATGAGAAGCTACAAATTAAGAGACTGAAATTTAATCGGGACAAAGGATGTTGGTTCTTTAGGAAAAAAAAGAAATCTGAATTTGTAGGGAAGGGAATATCTGGACTGGTAACTGTACATGAGAAATGGAACCTGGAATTTTAATTGCTCACAAGCCCAAGCTGAGTCAGAGGGGTGAAGTGGCTACTTTTTAAAAAAGATGTAATTTTAAGCTGTGTCAGCATACCATGAACTTTACAAAGTCGTAGGGGACCATTCCAATGTAAGTTGGTCATTTGGGAAAGCTCATTTGGGGACTACAGATAAAGAGAAAACTGAAGAACAATGCAGAAGACCAGAAATCTAGAAACTTGACCTAGAAAGAGAGACAGAAATAGATGGACATCTTTATCGTGAGAAAAGGAGACTGAAGGGGACAGGATGATGGTCACGGACAGGGGAAATGGCCCCAAATAAAGATGGAAAATGTTCTCTTACCACCCAAGAGCTATGGATTTATGAGAGGTTCCTGGTGCTCT